GGTTCTCGGAGAGTGTCCTCCCTCCCGGGCTCATATTGCAATGTAAACCAACTCTTCAACTATGTTCATGTCTCTGCCTAGAGCTAACATACTTGCTTCTTCTGTGAGAAAGAATTAAACAACACAGATTTTCTTTTACTATTTTGTTACAAAAGACATTTTTTGTACAATAAGCAATTTAAATTACTCATACAAAGTGTTTTTTTTTTTTTCTCATGGAAAGCAATTTTTGCATAGTATTTTGGAAATAGAATATTACTACTACAATTTCAAGTACACCACTGAGAAGTCACGGAGAAGTCACCACTGTGCTGCAGCTGAAGAAACACGTCACCTGCCAGATTTACAAATGATTCAGGCGTGGCATTGCTGTGGCAATACAGCTCAAGACAAGCCCTGGTCACAGCAGGAAAGCAAGCCAGAGTTTGGGAAATCTCAGAAAAGACTAGCACAGACACGTTCCTGCCCAACTCAAAGGTATGGGGTGCAGGCAGGGCTACAGGAGGCAGGCGGCTGGCCCCAAGCTCGGTGCTGCTGCACGGGCACTGCCTTTCTCACCCAGCTCAGCACAGCACTGGCTTGGAGTTGCAGGGCCTTTGGGGGCTGCACTACATAGCAGGGGGGCTGCCAGGCAGGATGTTTGTCTGAGCAAACCCATCAGCACACCACTCAGTAACTGAGCTCTGAAGATCTCTGGTCCCCAAAGGTCTCTCTTGTGGGAAAGCATCATGAATGGGAGCCACAGTTTCTAATTTTCCCTATTGCAACCTGCTTTCTTACATCTGCAGATCACTCCAGCAGAAATCTAAAGCTGCACGTGCACAAAAATCACTTGCATCTGGTTTCCCAAGTTTCTTACCTTCTTTGGTTCTGATTCAGCTGTCAGGTAACAAAATGCTTTTTTGCTGCACTTCCCTTGAAGAAATGTTTGTTATCAGTGGTTACACACAGCCTTGTCTTTATACAGACTGAGTTGGTATGTGGATATCGGGTAGACTTGCATAGGATTACTTTCTGTATGCTTGACTCATTTCACACAAAAACATATTTCACAATGATAGATGTTACGCAATCTTTCTAGCAAAAAATAATTTAGTGCTATGAAGGCTCATGCCAGTCTTCTATAGGAAAATAACATGCAAATATACCTGTCATAGGCTAAGGCTGGGCTGGCTGCTAAACGAGTGACAGATGCTCTGTATTAACCCCTCTCCCTTCCCCACAGAGGAAGAGAAAGAGAATAAGGGAGAGAGACTGATAGGCTGGAAAAAAACTAAAACAGCTTTATTGAAACAATAACAATAAAAAGATAATAATATTAATATGAAAATAATGAAATATATACAAATATATACAGAACTAATATTGAACTCCCCCAGCAACTATCACGTCACAACTGATGCTACAGGGCAGGCACTGGGGAATTCCCAGACTGGACTCAGCGACAGATGGGAACTGAATTCAGGAACTGGATTCAGGAACACATGGATTGTGATCGAAGGCAGAAGAATGGACAGAGTCTTCCTCACACACCAACCATTGAAGAAGAGGGCTTGATCCCTGAGCTTTATACTGAGTATAATATATATGGAACTGAATACTTTATTGGTCAGGTTTGGGTCACCTCTTCGGTTCACTCCTCCCTGCAAGTGTGACCTTTTTACTTACTTACGACCCTTTTACTTTACAGCACTTCAACATGGCTGTCATGGAGGCAGCCTCAAAATAGACAGAGAGGTCACTCAAAACAATCGACAAACCAAAGCAAACCACAAGCCTGGATGCCAGGCAGAAGCACTCACAAAACAAACACAGCTACTCAAAATGGAGATTTATTCCAATCAAAAATTAGTCAGCACTCTGACAGACCGAAGTAAATCACAAGTTCGTATATCAGTCAGGAATATAATACTACACAACTTCACTTAAGAATTTCGAAGTTTTGTAAATAGGCCTTTTAGAAAAATGATCCAAAGTATGCACACTCACTTACAAAAGGGGAAACCTCTCACTCAAGGACACCCATAAAATAGACTCACTCACCCAAAAGGGGTAAGGGCTCACTCAAGGATATAACCAGCAGAAGTATTCACTCACCAAAGGTGGGGGGTGTAGGTGCTCAACCCTGGGGAGTTTCCTCAGGCAGTGTCCTGACCCCAGTGGAGAGTTTCTGACCTCCTCGAGCAGACTCACTGCTTCGAGGAGCACCAGCTCAGATCGACGCTCTGGCAGGTCTCCGTTTATACCCTGGTCGAGTCTGACCTGTGGTCAATTCTAACCAGCCGGGGGCAAGCGCAGGAAAAGGCAAGGTAAACAAAGTGATCAGGTGGAAAAACACTATCTTTGTCTTTGGCAAGCCCCAGTCATTGTCAGGTCTTTGGCAAGGCGCACACCCCCCC